GCCCGGAGTTTCAGCAGGTTGGGAGGGAGCCACGCCTGTTCTCTCCCCAGAAACTTCCCTGGGGGGGTTGCAGGGGCTCGACCTGTGCCCTGTGATCTCTTCTTCCTCAATCCTACGGATTTGGAAGTTTTCGAGCCGCTCCTTCGTCTCGGAGCGGCTCTACGGGCGGCGGGGCTGGCGGAGCTTCAAAAGGCGCTGCCGTCGCCAAAGACAGGGAAACCGGAAGTTCTTGCCCTCATTCTTGAAGTGGCTTCTTCCCACATCTTCATCTCCTCCTACTCCTTCTCTTTGGTTAGATATTCTGTGCATAGACCTCACAGTAGACAAATGTCTCCATGTGGATAGTTATTGCAGATCTGGCTTAATGTCAGGCCTGCCCCAGCTTGGATGTTCAGAAAAGAAAGAACTCAATTTGTAGAGAGAGGTATAACTTATTGAAGCCAAGTGGTCACAGTGTTAAAAAGCCATCTCTGAAAATCCCCATGTAAACCTAGTGTTTTTCTCTTCTCCTGGGAAGTCCCCTCCCAGTCCTTTTGTAAATGTCCAATCGGGTTCAATCTAAGTGTTTTGATAACAGTCCAGAGGTGGGTTTCAGCAGGTTCTGACCAGTTCTGGAGAACTGGTAGCAGAAATTTTGAGTAGTTTGGAGAACTGGTGGTAAAAATTCTGACTGGCCCCGCCCCCATCTATTCTCTGCCTCCCAATTCCCAGCTGATCAGGAGGAAATGGGGATTTTGCAGTAACCTTCCCCTTGAGTGGGGTGGGAATGGAGATTTTACAGTATCCTTCCCCTGCCACGCCCACCAAGCCATGCCCACTAAACTGTGTCACACCCACCAATCCACAACCACAGAATTGGTAGTAAAAAATTTTGAAACCCACCACTGTAACAGTCCTAATGTTTGGTGCCTCTTTGATGAGTGTTCACATTATTTCCTCATGCTTGGGTCCTTGGATATGCCAAACTGTTCCAGGCTGGCACTTCTGGTTCCTCTCATCCTGTCATCTCCACCCTCCCTATATCCTCTTACACCTCCTTCCCATCTTTTATAGCAGGATGCCATCAAAGCGAAGTGGGGCTGAATTATAAGTTCAAATGGTTGCTGAACAAGTGGTTGCTAAATGTGGATCTCCTATTTTCTCTGTTACCAGAGGGCAAGACCAGGACTAGTGGTTTAAGGGAACAAGGTTCAGGCTAGGCAAAAGTAGGAAATTCCTGACCAGAGGAACTGTCAGGTTAAATGTCTAACTCCCTCACACCACAACCCCACAGCCCTGCAAGAATTAACAAGTCACATATCCCATCATCCCCATAACCACACCTTACCTCCTGACTCCTCCCCCTGGGTATAAGACCTTCCACCACGAGGTCATCCAGCAGTTCCAGATGTATACCTGCAAGGAAAAGGACAAAGGTCAGTTACAATTAACTGAATAGGCCCAGGATTATTTCAGGCCTGCAATAAAGGGAATTAAGAAATATATATATTTGTCTTGCGAGTTATTGGGTCAGATCCATCCCTATAACAATATGGTAGCAGAGGATGGTTACCCATAACTCTGAATAATGACAGAACCAGTGGTTTATTCTGAAACGAAGAACAGAATAAACACAAGAGCCTACACCAGACTAATGGCTGAACTACAGGCACTCGAAGGTGCCACAGCAAGAATCACAGTGACTGAGAGTGAGCAGGATGGCGATCCGTACCCACTTCTCAGAAACGAGAGACCACGAGGGGAAGCAGACGACCACGACAGAGAAGAACCACAAGAGAAAAATGAACTCAGAATGACCTTACTGAAAATGATGGAAGCGCCCATCAGCAATGGAGAACTCATCGCGAAATTCCAAGGCCTCCTAGAAAACCATGGAGCAGCGATGAGTGCCCAGGAACAAACCCAAGAAACCACCAGTCCGGTAAGGGAAAGGCATTCCCTAGCAGAGGTACCGGACATAGACGAATTCACTTTCGCACCACTTTCCCGGTGGCCATCTTGGACTGACCAGCAACCAATAGAAAGCCGGGGTTTGAATTTAATGGCACGAACCAGCCAGAACCCTGAAACAAACGAGGGACACCCCGAAAACGACTACAAGGAACAAACCCAATGCAACAGGAGCTCGCCTACCGAGCTCGAAGTAGAAAGAGCCATCGAGACTCTAGCGGCCCCATGTTCAAGCCTCCCGCACCAGCCAAAAGCTGCAAAGAAAACCCTAGAAGCCAGAGGGACACCAGAACAACCACCGACAATGAAGCACTTAACCTACCACTACCCAGAGAGGCGACACACTTTCGTGACAAACAAAGAATGCCGACCACCGACAGACTAACTACACGGCAGGACTCGAACTTACAACCCCACCTACTACCGGAGCAAAACCCAAGAAGAGAAAACCACAGGCCTTTTAGGGAATGAGGGCATGGGTGGTCTCCCAATCCCAGGTGACACAATGAGCATAGAGACAGTTCAAGGGACAGCAATCCAAGTTCCATGTACGGTTTCAGATATGGGAAACCAAACCACAAACAAAAAATAAGCGAGGACATGTGGCTCTTTGATTCAGGAGCCACGAACCATACCACGTGCAACCCAAAGTTATTCAGTTCACTCACAGAAACAGATATCGAGATAAAGGTGGCTAATCAGAGTAGTGCCAAAGTAATAGGGAAGGGGAGCGTGCATATCCCAGAAATTGGAAAAATAGAGGGGGTATTGTATGTGCCAGAAATACCCTATAACGTATTAGCCACCACCAAACTCACACAGGACACGGGCAGCGAGGTAGTGTTCAAGGAAGGAAAAGCTTACATATTCAACCAAGGAAATAGGGTTGGGGAGGTAACAATACATGATGGCCTATCCTACTTCACACCCAGCGAGAGCAACGGAGGGAGCATAAACACAAACACTGCTAGTGAGGAAAAGGGAAACACGGGAACAGAGGGGGTATGCCAGGGGGCAACCGAGTGTAAGTCACCAGGTAAAAACACGATGTCTATGGGAAGGCCCATCCATGTTAACTGCACCCATCTCCTCCACAGGAGACTAGGACATATCAGTTTCCCTGTTGTAAAAAAAATGCTGGAATGTACAGAGGGCCTAAAAGTAAAAGACTGTGAAAACTACTTAGAATGTTCCATTTGTAAGCGCTCAAAAATTAAGGTTAAGGCAAGGCCAAAGAAGTCAGAACAGACTACTGACTCTATCTTCCAACTGGTACACATGGACTTGGTAGGGCCATTGAAACCATCAATTAGGTATAGAAAAAGGTTCTTCTTAACTATTGTGGATGATTATAACAGGTATGGCTATGTTTATTCACTCAGGCATAAAAATGAAGTATTTCAAAAATTCAAAGAATTCCACAAAAGGGTAGAATTACAACACGATACGAAAGTCAAACAAATAATGACTGACCGAGGATCAGAGTTCATGGCCAGAGATGGTTAAGAGAACAGGGCATAGTTCACTACATTTCTTCGGCTTTTTCACCATTTCAAAATGGGGTCGCAGAACGAAAAAACTGTGTACTCCAAACGATGATGAGGTGTGTCCTAGAGGACGCAGGAATGGGCCAGTCATTTTGGTCAGAGGCACTGCATTATTCCAACTATACATTAAACAGGTTATGGTCAAGTTCGATTAATAAAACACCATATGAGATAATGTATAAGAGAAAGCCAAACTTGGCCCACCTACATATATTTGGTGCCCCAGCAGACATCCACATTCCCAGACAGTTGAGAAAGAAGGGGGAAAAGATATCCAAGAGGTTAAAGTTCATGGGATATGAATCAAGAACGAAAGGTTTCAGGTTCGTAGACTGCAACAACAAGTTTGTCGTACTTCCATGAACATTCAAACTGGTCAAGGCTTCACTCTAACGACATTCTCATTGGTAGGGACACACACGCACATAACCAAATAGATGAGGAAACGATCACAGAAAAGGCAAAGGAAACCAAAACGCACAAACCCAAACATTACAAAATAAAGGCCAAGGAATGGAAGGAAGGACATCCCATCTTGGACTTGGACAGCCTTACAAACAACGAAGTCGAGTGCATGCATGAAACAGATACAACCCCAGACAGGCCAGTCAGGGCAAATAGGAATAGATTGCCAAAGAGACTCGAATATTACGTTATGTCTATACATTCCAACAACCCCACACCAAATTCCTATGAGGAGATACTCAACCTTCCCCAGGAAGAGAGAGAAAAGTGGGAACAAGCCATGGAAAGAGAGATGGAGAGCCTCAGAGACCTACATGTATACTCACCATCAAACAAAAAACCAATAGGAACCAAATGGGTGTTCAGAATCAAGACACTGGAAAACAACAAAGCACTGTACAAAGCGAGGCTGGTCACGCAAGGATTTGCCCAGAAGTATCCAGAGGACTACACAGACACCTACTCGCCTACAGTCAGGGTTGAGAGCGTCAAGAGTGCACTGGTAATAGCCACTATTCTGGGACTTGAAGTATTCCAATTCGATGTGCAAACCGCATATCTCCATGCAGAATTGGACAAAGAAATCTACGTCAAAGCCCCACCAGGATACAATGAAGGAAAAAACAACACATGGCTTCTGAATAAAAGTTTATATGGACTCAAGCAATCAGGCAAGAGGTGGTACGATTGCCTAGCCAAAGCCCTCAACTCTATGGGCTTCACCGCCACTTCAGCCGACAAATGCTTCTTTACAAAAAGAGAGAATGAATCATTTGAGAGCATCCTTGTCTATGTGGATGATATATTGTACATAGGCAAGCAAAAAGACAAATGTGATAAATTTGCCACTGAACTGGGGAATCACTTCTCATTAAAATCACTAGGAAATATAGACAAATATCTAGGGGTTCAAGTGACCAAGACCAACAAGGCTTCTGACTCTCACAAAAAGAAAAGATCGTTGAACTTTTGTCAAAATGCAATATGTCAGAGGCGAAGCCCAGTGAGACCCCTATGCAACCAGACTTTCTAAAAAGTATGTATGACGAGTCTGAACCCTTCATTGACAACAAGCTGTACAGATCTACCATAGGGTCACTACTATACATAGCCAATTGGACTAGACCAGACATCGCCCTGGCTGTCAATCTACTATCCAGGCACGTGAGCAAGCCTACAACATCACACTGGGATGCCATCAAGAGGTTACTCAGATACCTCAAATACAGTATCAACGCACAATTATGCCTTGAACCAGACCTGTCCACGAAACCAAAGCTGACCTGCTATGCCAACGCTGATTGGGCGGGAGATATCAAAAGTAGGAAAAGCACCTCAGGTTATGTGCTCTTCCTCAACGGCAGTCCTATTCACTGGTACACGGGGAAACAAAAACTTGTAGCCACATCCACCACCGAGGCAGAATTTATCTGTCTGTCGAAGGCCGCAAACAACCGAATATGGTTTGATGACTTACTCAGTGATATTTGGACTGAACCATTATACCCAATAATTATTCATGAAGATAATAAGGCAGCAATAGAGATATCGAGGGCTGATGCCGTTGGCCAATGATCAAGACATATCGATATCAAATGTAAACATGTCAGGCAGTTTTCAGAGATTGGTTTTATTAAAGCCGTACACTGTGACACTGAGGAGCAGACAGCAGATATACTCACAAAACCTTTACCCCACAAGCAACACGCATACCTCATGTCTAAAATATGTGTCTATATGTAAACAATGTAATTTTATGTATACGTATGTAAAAGCCATGTACTTGTAACCAGTTAGACATTTAGAGGGGGTTTTGTCAGGTTAAATGTCTAACTCCCTCACACCACAACCCCCCAGCCCTGCAAGAGTTAACAAGTCACATATCCCATCATCCCCATAACCACACCTTACCTCCTGACTCCTCCCCTGGGTATAAGAACTTCCACCACAAGGTCATCCAGCAGTTCCAGATGTATACCTGCAAGGAAAAGGACAAAGGTCAGTTACAATTAACTGAATAGGCCCAGGATTATTTCAGGCCTGCAATAAAGGGAATTAAGAAATATATATATTTGTCTTGTGAGTTATTGGGTCAGATCCATCCCTATAACAGGAACTGTCTGCCAGTGGATAGGCTGCCACATGAAGTATTGAGTTTTATTTGAATTAAAGTCTTCAAGAAGAGGTAAATGATCAAGGTATTCTAGCAGAACTTGATCAAGTGATTGGTCTAAATGAACTTTAAGATTTCCTCAGCTCTGTGATTATGTAAAATGATTCCTATAATTAGTTTTTCTCACTTCAGGAGCCCTAAACGTGATGTTGCACTTTTTATAATATTCTGGGGAACAAAATAAGGACAGCCTTATTCTGGCATGTTGTATCAAGGTGGCCTTAGTAAAATTATATCTGAGGTTAAGGCTGCATTCAAAGAAGAGATTTCTTCAACAAAGGAAGAAGACTAAATGAATTTTACATGAGAATAATTGCGACTCTTCCCAATTCCTTTATGGAGGAGTTCAAATCTTCTTTGCTTTGTTCTGACAATTCTTCCCTTCCTACAATTACAGTGAAAACATAAAAAACAAGAGGGAATGAACAACATAAAAGACTTGCAAGCATTTTTTCTTTTGTCCCTGTAAATAATTACCCAGAGTAGTAAGTACGTTCCTATTATAGGGTTTGTTCAAACAGAGAGATGTGTCCCATCTCTCTGTAATGCTTTAATTTGAGTTGCTGCACTAAGTATGATAGCCTAAATCAGCAGTCTCCAACCTTTTGGGCACCAGAGACCAGTTCTGTGGAGAAAGGTTTTTCTGTGGACTGGAGGAGGCATGGTTTTGTGTGCTGCCTGCATCCCACGGATGGAGCTTCGCTTGTTTGTGTGGACAAGTTGCTGGCATGTTGCAGACTGGTGCTGGTCCATGGACCGGGGGTTGGGGACCCCTAGCCTAAATGACCCCTTTAAATTAATGAATTAGGGGAGAAGAAAGCATAGATTTGTGTTTTGGTATAATCTTAGATCCACAATATTGGTTTTTCAAGCCAAGTGGAATAAAATTAGAAAATCTTTTTATGATATTTAGCCTCTTTTGATTTCTGTTGAAAATGTACAGTACCCATATAGCCAAAATTAACATTTTGAAATTATTTACTCTCTTACACTCTAATGTCAATGAATAAGAAGGGAGCTACAATATTTTTAAAAAATAACATTGATTTGTGGATTAAAGTATGTTGAAAAGCTAAGTTTAGAGATAATCTGTCAAATTTCAGTGCAATTGATTGAGTGTAGACTGGGAATATTTTAGTTTGAAGGACTGAAATAAAAGATTTATATCTAAAATATATTTGGGTATATTCTGAAGGATGTTATTATAAAGCTGCAAAAGAATTACATTAAATATAGTCTATAATCAAAACACTATCAGAACATTTAAACTTTAACTTTAAATGTTAAAGTTTAAGATTTAAAGTTAAACTCCTTATGAGAGATTTTAAAAATGGATGTAAGCTGAAGTAATAGTCACATGTCATTATGAAATCAAAAAGGCAGTATAATTTGGGGGCGGGGGGAGCCTCTGGGATTTTTATAGAGAGTATATGTACCTCGAGTATATGCCTAACTCTCTGTATTTCTCTTTGCTGCAAATTATTAAAATACTTTTTTTATTGGTATTATAACCACTTTTAAACCTTGTTTTTCTTTCTATTGCACTTTCATTCACTCATTAATTTTGGGTTTTTTCTCACGGTACATAACCACAGTCATGGCTGCCATGGCAACAAAAGGAAATGTGTTCAGCCCTAAAATATCTTCTTAGAAATAACGCAAATAAGAAAACACAGCAGCTTGTGTTGGCTGCTGCAAATGTCAGTTTGATGCATAGTCCACAATGATTGAGGGATGAGGTCATGTGCTGCATGAAACTTTCCATTATTAGCCAATAGATCTCTATTCTCATACCTTTTAAGACCTTCCTTCCTCTCTGCTTGATGATGATGAAAATATTTGGCTGAAATTACACTATAGTTTAGTGTATACATTCTTTACATCTCCATTTCAGGCAAGTTCTTTATTTTATTTATTTATATATTTATTTAGAAAATTTATATAGTCGCTTTCTCACTCATAGCAACTCTAGGCAGCTTACAAATAATAAAAACATAATATAGAAAACAAAGCAATAATCCCTCACCCACCCACCCTGGTAACAGCACACTATTAAATAAACCATTCAATGAGCTCCATTGCACTCTGGGTTCCCCGGATCCACTGGCAAAACCATGTCTTTAGGGCCTTCCAAACAGTAGTGGGTTGCTTCCGGTTCACACTGGTTCAGGAGAACCAGTAGTGAAAATCTGTTGTGGTTCGCAGAACCGGTAACAACGGCTGGCTGACCATGCCCCCGAATCAGCTGCTGCTCGCTTGCCCCGCCCACCCTGTCACTGCTCGCTTGCCCCACCCACCCGTCTGCCCGACGCTCGCATGCTCGCCGCTCACTTGCCTGTTCGAACCTCGCCCCGCCCATCCAAGCACTATAAATGCCTCTTCGCCACGCAGCCCACTACTCGTGACTCACTCCTCACGTGACCTCCTTGGCAGGAGTCGCTTGCGCTTGTAAATTCCATTTCTGCTTGCTGAAGTGGCTTGCTGAATTCCCCTGCACCCCAACAGAGCTGCCTCCTCCCACCTACAGGGTAAGCTACCCCACCATCCCAAGGCTGCCTTAGCCCGCTGTAGCTTTCATGGTGCCTTGCCGGCTGGCAGCACACTCCTGCAGCCCGCCGTAGCTCAGCTGGGGCCTTCCTGGCTGCCCACCCCAATCCCTGGCCTGCCGTAGCCCCCCAAGCTCGGCTGGTGCCTTTCCCACCATCTGTGAGCTCCTGCAGCCTGCCGAAGCTTGGCTGGGGCCTTCCTGGCTGGCTGCCTCAATCCCCGGCCTGCCATAGTCACCCAGGCTCAGCTGGTGCCTTCCCCACCACCCATGCACTCCTGCAGCCTGCCAGAGCTTAGCTGGGGCTTTCCTGGCTGCCCACGTGCTCCTGCAGCCTGCTGGAGCTTGCCTGGGGCCTTCCTGGTTGCCTGCCCCAATCCCCAGCATGCCATAGCCACCCAAGCTCAGCTGGTGCCTTCCCCACTGTCCGCGTGCTCCTGCAGCCTGCTGGAGCTTGCCTGGGGTCTTCCCAGCTGCCCACCCCAATCCCGGAGCTGCCATAGCCACCCAGGCTCGGCTGGTGCCTTTCCTGCCGCCCGTGTGCTCCTGCAGCCTGCCGGAGCTTGACTGGGGCCTTCCTGGCCAGCCACCCCAATCCCGGCCTGCCATAGTCACCCAGGCTTGGCTGGTGCCTTCCCCACCGCCCATGCGCTCCTGCAGCTTCCAGAGTTTGGCCGGGGCCTTCCTGGCTGCCCGCCCCAATCCCCGGCCTGCCATAGGCTTCGCGACTGCGTCGGCTCCATCCCAGGTGGCCTAATATTTCCACCATCCCTCCAGCCTCCAGCCCACCTTACCTGCCTGCCTTGTATAGCCTCCAGCCTCCAGCCAACCTTCAGGAGCTGAATCCCGACTGCAGACCTGCCTGCTGGAAGTGGAAAGCATCCATCAGCTGCACCCATCTCATCAGTGAGCAACTGAGCCTGCCTGCCTGCCTGCCTGCTTGCCTGCCTTGTACCTTCAATTGGGTAAGTGGCTGGTTTTTTTTCTTTATGCTTTAAAAGAAATGATTGTAATAATGTTATTATATGGAAATGTTATTCTTTTTAGGAAAGAAGTCTTGCAGCAACCACATTTTATGTGACTGAATAGCTGCTTTCATATGTTTAGCTTTGTGCAGCTTTGTGAGCTCCTGCAGCTTGATGTGTTTTGATGTGTTTCTGATTGCCCTGGGTGTCCTTTTCCTGTTTACCTGGGTTAATCTTGGTCCCAGGTCTTTTGTCTTTCCTATCCTGTGGATTAATTCTGCCATGAAAGAGGAAATGGGAGTTCCAGGGGAGTTATTTTTAGCCTGATTCCCCTTATCTTAAGTATTCCTTCAAGCTGGTGCTTTTGCCTGGGTTTTTTTTTTAAAGGGGGAAGGGCTGGCTTGAATTTCTTGGCGCTGTTTTCTGAGGTTTCTGGTGCTGTGAGGTTTCTGGCACTCTCCTTTTGGGGTGTACTATACTTCCCACAATGCCTTCATGATGGTTTTTATTCCAGTGGCTTTCTTTCCTGTCTTAAGGGTTAGGGAAAAAACTGGTTTTATCTGCAGTCTTTTGGGGGACTGTTGTTAGTCTTTTGGTGTTTTCCTGGCACTGTCCCAGTTTTGGGGGGGCAGGGGTGTATGGTCTCATAGTTGTCTACACATTAATCATAATCAAATACTAATACTATGTGCTTATCCATTTTAGTGAGCTTTCCTTATCTAATTGGTGTTTTCTTTTATACTTTTATATTTCTAACTTCTGTTTCTGTTAGTTAGCCATTGATAAAACAAACTCCATGTTAAAAAGTATTCGAAGCCTTCTCCTTGATTTAAATTTGTACTTTATTCATTTCTGCACATTCTAATATTTTTTTTATTCATTTTCATAGCTT